TTTCACAATAAATTGCTCTAACAAATCCCTTTATTGATCTCCAAAAATTTCTTGAATAATTTTTATAGGAGTAATATTGAAATTCAATATGCTTTTTAACAATGGTAGCTTTTATTAATATCATGAAAATTTTGTTTTGAAAAATAAGAAGGCTGTCCAATATGGCAGGAAAGACCAAACAAAAGAATTCATAGCAATGGCCATAGTCACCACCAATTCTCTTCTGGTCAAGAAGACCGTCCCATCATGTCTAATCCAATAGAAAATATGGGGAAAAAAGAGAAAAGAAAGAAAAAGTTCCATTGCAGCGAAGTCACCAGCAATTCTGTTCAGGTCAAGAATTATTTTTTTCTTTTGTCCATGATATAGAGGTCAATTCAAACGTAAATGATTTGAGTTATTACTTATCGTATGCGGCAAACTCGTTGCTATTTGCTTTTCCTTTTTTCTATTCTAGTTTCTTTTAAAAATAAAATAAAAAATTGCCAGGAAAAATAGATACATAAAAGAAAAAAATTGGAGGTAGTTTATTAGTAGTGCTGCAGCAGCAGCAATAATAATAGATGTTTTTGAGAATTAAACGTTTAACACAATTATGGTGGCAGAGATGATGATGATGATGATGATATTTTTTTTAATAAAAAATTCCTACCACCATTTTGGATGATAGCAGTGAAAGCAAATTTTATATAACGAATAATATAAATAAAAAAAACAAAAGAAATTTTTTTTTTATAGTCGTTGCTTATTTTATTTTTGTTGAGAATTTAATCTCATTTTGTGTAAATTAAATTTTGTGAAAAAACAATCAAACCAAACACACACACAACAATCAAGAGTATAAAATAAATCAATCACAAAAATACAACTACAATAAAACCAAATTACGTGAAAATTCTTCTCCATAATTGAAAAAAAATCATGAGATAAGTTTCAAAATAATTCATTATAATCAATAAATCAATATAATCACTCAAGTTTCTTTATATCCGAACTTGAGAAACAAAACTTTTGATAATAATATAAGTTATATCTCTAATTAAATCCATTTCGCTATAAAAATCCGAAATCTGCATTATTTTAGTATGGAGATTATTGATTTCAAATTTCACTTTTTGAAGTAATATAATAAAAAATTAGTGTTACAAATTTAGTTTAGACATAAACAATGTGTGGTATAGGCATTGTTTTTTTTTGTGTGTAATTTAAATTTGATGCGATTAGAAAGCTTTAGTTTACAAACAAATATTGTTAATATGATGAATATTAATGATTTGGTAACTATAATATTAGTGAAGTGTTTAATTATGTAATTAGCATTGGTAATATGAAACGATTTAAATGAATAGTTAATAATGCAAAACGAAATTTCATATTTATAGTTTTAAATTAAATAATATAAATTTGAAAGTAGTTAAATTAAGATATGTATTTGTGTATTTTTTATTTTTTATCATTAGTAATGTTCTGTAGATATTACGTCAAGTTTTCTTTTGTTTTGTTTTTTTTTTTCATCCTCAAGTAAGTTTATGTGTTAATCGAATTAAAATATTTTCGAACGATCTTAAAGATGCAACTTGAAATTCAATAAGTTCTCCAGAAGTTGAAACCGAGGAAAACAGAAAAGATTGAGTTTTCAAATTTTGTTATGTTTATTACCTTTTTTTTTAAAAAAAAAAGATGGAAAAAGTAGTAATTAGGGGACTACAATATGCTTAACGGCACACTCGACCACCATTTATCTCAATTTTAAGTTGAAATGTCCACATGAATTAAATAAAAGATTTTTAGTGGAAAAATTTCTAGGATTTAATTGAAATTTGTTTTGGATGACTAAATGATTATAAAACCTAAAGTTTAAGGATTGAAATAGTTTTCCTTACAAATAGAGGACTAAAACATACTGATTTTCTTAAAGTTTAAGGATTGAATATAATTAAACTTTAGGATTAATGGATAGTTTTCCTACAGCTCCCACGTCGCAACAAAACCGCTGTTAATCAATAGCTGCCGGAAGGACCAGATCAAAACTTTTTATTTTATCCAGAAATTACCAATTCCTTATAGCTTGGCTACCTTGCATTTCTAATTTAAAAATTCCTTCTTTTATTAATATTATTATCTATTTTTACATCTTTAAAAAAAATAAAAATTAATTATGAAAAGTTCGTCACATACCATGTCGATCTCAATTTGTTCTTTTAATATTTCGTTTTTTCGATGCAAGTTTAATGATTGATTTTGTTGATCTACAAAAATTTGAATTCAGATGATTTTACCTTTTCTCTTTAAAGCTTCAATTTTTTTTTTTTAATTTGATTCCTTCTTTATTTATATATTTATTTATTTTCTTCTTCTTTGATCACATACTACTCATGTGCTAATCGCGAGGAATTTTTTCATGTCTTTAGATGGCATTGAATGGAAGAAGAACACCGAAAATGTCAATTAATAATATTTTTATTAAATAATTAAAAATATTTATTGGGAGGTGCAATAAAAATATTCAATCTTGTTGTATCCCAATTGAAGAAATTATGTCATTACTAATTAAATCTTATTTACATAACGTAATTAGGTACGTAATCTTTAGGTTAACCTGCTTGTAATATTAACTGATATTAATGATGCCCAAAACCGATATAAAAAGGCTCGACATGTAGAACAATCACATTTGATTTTGGGTAATGACATTATCATTCCATAATTGTAACATGCTAATCCCCTCAATAATACACAATTACAAGCTTAAATATCACTAATATTGATTGGAATGCATTGTAATAATGTGAAGTCGACTTGTTTTCACCCTTAATTTTGATATCTATGCATACATTAATTTAAAAAAAAATGAATTTTTAAATTAAGATACACACACAATATTTTTATAAAAATAATTTCGATTGATACAAAAATTAATTCAAGAATATATATATTGAGAATACACACGTTATACTCGTTGAGGGTTCGATTTAATTATTTTATATTATTTTTTATCTAACTTCGTCACATAAAGACTCATTTGACTATCATTCTATTTAGATCCGTTCCTATACGATATATATTAGGAATACACACGTTATACTGTTAAGGATTCGATATAAGTATTTTATATAACTTTTGATTTGACTTCGTCACATAAAGACTCATTCGACTATCTTTCTATTCGGATATGTCCCTATACGATGAATTACCGTCTCTTATTGAACCGGGTGTTAAGATCTTTCCATTGTCACTTCCAAGCTAGGAATTCTTCCCTCTGTGTGTATATAAAGAATTTCAAACATGCATATTGACCTCTCGTGGAAAAAGAGGGACGAAACATATCTGGCTCCAAGAGTTTCTTCTTGGACATGATACATTTATGGTAAATGTTTCCTTTCGCTATCAAACAAAAATCCCTCACATAAATAAAATATTTCTTTAATTTTTGCCCGTTTGAAAAGGCAAGCTACCTTTGTCATTATGCATGTTTATTCAAAAGATCTACAGGTCATTTTAATACTTTTGATTATCTCAAAAAATTAATTATAGAAAATTTATATAATAATTATTGTAAGGAAAACAAGTGCAAGCAGATATAATGTCGGGAGAAACATTGTGGGATTAAGTAAAGCGAAGTGAGGCCAGCTATCATAAAGGGGAAAAAAACATGTATAAATAATTAAGAGTTCCATTTGTTCATGTTTTCTTATATTAATAGAATCTTCTTATTTGATAATTAATTATCTCTAATATAAAAAATTTTGCAATTTAAAATGAGTGAAATATGGACCACCGAAAATTATAGATAAAATGATAAGAATAATATTTTTTATTTATCAAGTCAGAAATTTGTTTTTCATCTTTAAAAAACTTCTTTTATTTTTATAAAACTCTTCGTTCTCATTTCTGTGACACAAGACAAGAACCGGTAGTTATTATTTTTTATTTACGTGAAATTAGACGTGAACTGCTGATAGATTTTTTTTTTAAAAAAAAAACCTTTGGATACCTCGACTATTTTTAAGTATAAAAAAAAAAGAAATGAAATATTTTTTATTGTTCTAGATAAAACTAGATCATTGACACATTAAGTACCACTTCCTAAATGGATAAAAGTAAAACAACTTGCCCATCAACTTAATTAAACTATAGGAAAATTGTAGGAATTAAAACTAGATCGTTTAAAATTTTCATTAATGTTTACTTTTTCGTGCATTTTTGTGAAAATAACATCCAAATCATACGTCAAAATTTTCTCAATCATTGTACTCAATCCTATCCCCACGGCAACATTTTTCTTCCCAAAGACGTCAACCACTAGTCTAGTTGTCCACCAAGTTGTGTAAGGATTGGACTGACCATGTCAAACTTGTAAGTTTTTCCTTAAAAGATAAAATGAGGGACACAATTTCTACCCTACCACATAAATTCTTGATAAAAATAAATAAACAAAACCAACAAAATTTTTAGTTCCATGCTACTCTGCTAGAGGAAAAAGAAAAAGGTAAAATCTTAAATTCAAATCCTACTCTTATCGTCTAGTTTTTGGTTTATTATTAGCCTATTTTTTACGATAAATTCCCTCAAATCTTATAATATTAAAAAATAATTATAATTAATTATTCATAAATAATAAGAATTAAAACTTAATTTTGATTAAATCGAAATAATTTTTTTATCGTTATATCATATTGGAAGAGCTTCATTGCGGTAAAGAAAACAATTCTAGCACTAAAGTAATTTTAAATTTTCTAGTTGACTTGTTACCCTAAACTCACTCCACTTGATCTTGATTTTTGACTAGAAAACTATGGCACATAGGTAGCAAAAAAAGTAATATAAATTCACATCGCTACGTTACAATTAAATACAACAAGGTAGTTGGCCAAACAAGTAGGCCAAAAAAAAAAAAAATTGATTTAACAAGTCATACACAATATTATCTAATTATAAACAACTATCTCATTCTTTACAAGCATTAAATTCCATTGAGAAAGAGAGAAGAAAAAGGAGACATGGGTTGTTGTTTCTCATGCAAATCATCTTCAGAATTCAACAATGTTCGTGTAGTTCACCTGAATGGTCATGTTCAAGAATTTGAAAATCCTGTCCCAGTTAGCCAAGTCACTACAGGCCAATTACCTTGTAAGAATCTTGTCTTCACAGCAGCGCAGCTTCTTTCTACAGCGTCCAAACCATTAAAGCCTGATGCGCAGCTAGAAACAGGCCAACTCTACTTCTTGCTTCCCTGCTCAATATTGCAGCCTGATGTTTCCCCGGTGGACTTTCTTGCTCTAGTAAAGAGGCTATCTTCAATAGCAAAGTCTGGCAGGTGCACTGGTCAGAGTAAGGCTAAGTCTGATAAGTCTTCGGGAACTAGTTCCTTGGGCCAGAGTAATTCAATGTGTAGAACACAGGCTAGAAGGACATGGAAGCCGGTTTTGGATACCATCAGAGAGAAGTCTTTCAACCGGAGGAGTGAATCAGAGTTGCGGGAAACGGATTTCGAGACTCCCAAAAGTAGCTTTAGGTATGATGTATTCTTGTAACAAACGAAGGGAAAAATGGTTCTGAAAAATGGAACAAATACTGATCTCCTAGCTTAAGTTTGAGGCGTGATGTATTCTAGCTAGAAATTGCGATTAGCTATTAGATTTTGAACTAGGTATACCCCTGGTGTTTAGCCTGCTTGTATTGTTTTTCATTTGATTTTGTTTCTTTTCCAAATTCTGAAAGATCTCTGTGAAGCAGAATTGCCTTGCCAACTGCATCGGCAGGGTGAATGGTGGCAAGTATGGATAGTGGGTTGGGAGATTGTATAAGGGAAGATCTCATCCTGCAAATTCAATTCTGCCTTGGTGGCAGAGGCTCTAGCTCTGGATTCATAGTTGGGCTATGCCTGAATATTGTTTCTCTTTTTCGTGAAAAGTAAAATTGCATAGCTGATTGGATGGCCAAGGAAACTAGATCCCATCTATGGTTCCTCAGAACTAGGTTTTGAACTGATCTCTGTAATTTTTTGGATGCAAAAGAACCACAGATTATACAGGGAAAATGCTTTGTTTTGAACTTTCCAATATCACAGCAAAAACTCCAGCCTATGTGCCTGCCTTTGACATTTTCTCCTCTCAGATTTATTTGGCAAATTTATTAAACAGGCATTACTGCTCAACTCCCAAATCAGCATCTGATATAAAAAAACTTTAAAAATGACGTTTGAATCCCAAATTTGTAGTTTACAATGAACTTGCAAGAAATTACTTTCTCCTAGAAAAATTCTACATCTGATATAAAAAACTTAAAAAAATAACATTTGAATCCCAAATTTGTAGTTTACAATGCACTCGCAAGAAATTACTTTCTCCTTGAAAAATTCTAATGATTCAATGGTAGAAACGAGCATCTTTTCTTCCATAATCTATTTGCTGTTTTGGTTACGGATAATAAAGTGTGATAAATGAAGCTCAAACCTTGTTTACAGGAAGGTCCTGCATTGCCAGGTTGATTCGTGAGTAAGCAAGAAGGATATTGGGGTAAGTGATTAGACAAAGGAAAACCCCATCTTGCAAATTCAGTTCTCCCTTAATGGCAGTGACTCGAAACTTCTGTTCCGAAACTAATCATCTAATCCTGTAAACTAGATTCATGCTTGGACTCTGTCAGAATATTGTTTCTCTTATTAGCAGAAGGTCAAATTACATGGCTGATTGGATGGCCAAGGAAACTAGATGGTAAATGCCATCTATGGACACTCAGAACGAGGATTTGAACTCTGGTCTCTGTAGAAACAAGCTTTTCTATTCCCCATAATCTTTTGCTGTTTTGGTTAGGGATTATAAAGGTAACCCGTGAAGATCAGACCTTATTTACAGGGAGGTTCTGCAGCTGGTGACAAAAGTATAGAACCCTCCCCTCCTCTCTCTTTCACATTTACAAACCATGAGATGGGAAAAAAAAAAAAAAAAAAAGAAACTTAAGATCTGATATAGCACATAAATGTTGTTCACTATAAACCGCTAGATTCCAGAAATCAAAGAATATTAAAGAGGGACAACAATGGGGGCTGGTGGGACTCTTTCTTGAATAGGTAAGCAGCCCCAACCATCTTCTTTGCTATAAGATACAGTAAAATGACTAGGAACCCAAGTTTCTCCTTTTGAGTCCCTCTCTTTAGCAAGCTTTCTCTGCTTATCCTCAACACTGCTCTTTGCTTCTCTTGCCTTAGCCCAGTTTTTGCTTATTATGCCTTTGCTCACCTCACTCCATACTGTGGCCGATTCAGTTGGCCAAATTCCCTTACGACACAAAAAATAAATAAATAAATAAATAAAATAATCAAGCATTTATAAGAGCATAAAAAATCAAGTCAAATACATTGATCCTTGCATAACCATTGACATAACTCACAATATACTGAAACAGTGTGAAACGCAGATTAGCCTTTACGGAGAGGGATCTCTCAGCCGCGGTGAATAGTAGGCAAAAAGAGAACAAAGCACTCAATTTTTTCAGTTTAAAAATCAGAATTTTGGTAGGTCACATGAAAGAATCATTTCTGAGAATCTGTTAATTTGAAGCACAAGAAAAAATTGTTTAGGGATAGATAAGTATGATAGTACCTGCAAATCTTTGACGATAGGAGTCTTTAGCTCAGAAAACACTTCCTTTGCGTCGTATATAATTGTCTCCTTCCCACTATCTATGTCCTTCACTTTCACAGTACTGGATTCGAAAGATTAGTAAGTGAAACTCTCATTATATGATCACAATCTTAAGTAATGCTAACCTTACCAATATACTTCCTGGAAAAATTTCCCGAAAATTTTTTCGGTGAGATTAGCATTGATCTAACACTATTTACACGTACAAAGTTTCTAGCAGAAGTTTGTTTTCTTTTTGCGTGTATGAGTGAAAATATATCTACCTGTTCCAGTGTCCATCAACCTCATAAAGGGTCTTCATAGATGAAGACTGATAGATCTTTCCTTTAACAGAATGGAGTCCACTACGTCCAAGAAGAGAACTGGTTATGTAGCATAACTCCGATTCAAGATCAGTCTCCTGGCAGCAAATTTTTACCTTGCCAATCCAATCAACCCTAGGTGGAAGAAATTTAATCATGAGCTTTGGTGAATTCATCGTATAAGTTTCTCCATGATTCAGAAGCTTAAGTTGCCTTTTGCCAAGCACCTCAGCTTCTACTCTAGTGCCTACATTTAGCATTGGTATTTGTTAAAAAAACGAGTTGCTAAAGGGTTAAGCTAACCAAAATCTAAGTTTCCTGAAAGCAAGACAAAAGAATTTTGGGAAAAAAGAGTACTACCATAAAACTTTGGAACAGGATGTTGGCACCAAATGAACTCAAGGTTTTCTTTCTCATCTGTTGCATGGAGGGCAGAAACTGGTGGGTGATGGGAAACCTGCAACCATGAAATACGACCGACGGATGATACTCCTTAGAAAGCAGGGGATTAAGTCTAGGAATTTCAACTAGAAGGCATCAGGTTCAAACCCTGGGTCAGCCTATCCAATAATGAACAGCTTGGGCAGCAACTTTTTGGGTCATAGGCCCAGCCTGACTTTGTCTGAATTAAAATAAACCGGGCCTAACCCAATTTGGCCCATAAACAAGTGTATATGGAGCTAGGAATGAAAATAAATCGGATATGAAGCAGATAACTTTTTTATTTTATCCGATGAATATTCATTAAAAGTATCCAATGGGCATTGAGGAAGATTAAAACAAAAATACATATCTGTTAATAAGATTACAAGATACATGTACCCACTTCACACCCTACTAATACTTTTTTTTTAGAAAAAATAAAATAACATTTAAGAATTTGATTGCATAAAATTTATAAAAATAAGGATCCATTTTTTTATGAAAACTTTGATGGCAAAAACCTTAAAAATAAAGAACCAAATTGAAAAAAGTTAAATTTAAGGACCTAAACAACTTTTTAAAAAAATTACAAGAACTAAAATAAAATATTTTAACATTTATTTTTATCTCGTATTAAATTGATATTACATGGACTAATAAATTGATTTTTCTTGTCTCAAAAACTATTATCTAGTTGTTTAATTAGTATTGATCATGTTTAATTTAATATTATTTTTATTTCATAAAATCTCTTATTTTCTGGTCAATCCTTTCATATTTTTTCAATTTTTTTCCTTTTTTTCTATTTCTTAAATGAAATCAAAGTAAATAAAAACATAGCAAAAAGGATTAAATTACAAATAAATTTCAAAACATAGAAACAAAATAATTAGTTTTCAAAACGAGATGGACTAATTAATTTTTTTCTCGAAAGGAGAGCGACTAATTTACAATTTACCCAGTAAAGTAATGAAGTACCTGTTCAAGCAGAACATTGAGGCTTCCCCTGGAAACATGGTGAGTCTCTCCAAGAATAGGGTTGTAAGGGGCAAGACCAAAAGTGGGAGGACGTGTAGTAGATATACTCCATGCTACAACTGAGATGAATCTTTCAATTGAGCTCTCTGCATTATTGCTCTGCTGCAACAAATTCTTGCCAAAGCAGAATGCCGATTCACCAAAACATTGGAGGTGGGACTTTGGAATGTTGAATAGAGGTGTAAGCTGAACTTGCAAAACGAACACATTTATCAATGCTTTTGGTCCAAAAGAATGTATTAATACTATTGCTGTAACTAGTGACATGGTGGGATGATAATAATTCAATTTGTTTTTCCCAATTTTAATTTTGATGATCGATAAAAAGACGTAATGAGAATGAGAAATACATGTAACTAACATCACTAGACTTAAAATAATGAGAAGAAAATGGACTATGAAAGAAAATTAATTATGGAAGATTTCTTTGATTTTAGCGAGTAAATTATAAATTAGTTCCTCTAGCTTTCAGAAACGAATTCGTTAGTTTTTTTTGTTTTAAAAATTAATTATTTAATTATTTTTTTCCATATCACATTCTTTTCTACTTTGTTTTTAAAAAAAATAGAAAAAAATAGATAGTATAAAAAATTAATGAGAAAAGAAGACATTTTTTAAAATAAAATAATATTAAATTAAACTTGTTCAACACTAATCAAGAGATCAAATAATTAATTTTTGAAACAAACAGGACTAATTAATTCATTTTTTCAAAACTAAAAGGGTTAATTTATAATTTACTCTGATTTTAGCAGACTACGAAAAAATGAATGGACTTTAATTTGACTTAATAGATTCATCAATATTTTGTTTTTTATCCCTGTAGTAAAACAAATTCTATTATTACCCTTCTTGTTGACAAAAATTTCCACGTTACTCCTAACCATTAAATACCCTACTTTGAATTTGATTTTTGATTCACGTTTTATGATATGTATATATATATATATATATATATATATATATATATATATATGGGAGCATTTTACTAGTTACTCAGTAGTAAAAGAAAAAATTGAAATGTTTTATGAACTGTAGGGGTAACATTGCGAAACTTTAAACTATAATACCCAATGTGAAACATTGACAAATCTATAAGGGTAACAATGTAGTTTACCCAAAAGAATGACTTGCCTGGAAGTTGGTGAGATCTGATCCTGGCCGTACATTCCTAAACAGACTCAAAACGCGTTGGACAAGATTAGGAGCCTTATAATCAGCATCAGCGTCTCCCTCCAATGACAAAGGCTTGGTCAGGACAACCTGTATCTCATCGCTGCCTTCGCTGACCTGTACAACAAATTGAGCAAATTATAAATTAGTCCTTATAGTTTTTTAAATGAATTAAATAATCTCTCTAATTTTAAAAAATTAATTAATTAGTCTTTATGTAATTTAATTTATTTTGATTTTTTATTTGAAGAAATAGAAAAAAAATGAAAGGATTGACAAGTAAAAAAGATGTTTTTTGGAACAAAGCAATATTAAGTTAATCATGATCAACACTAGTTAAAAGACTAATTAATTAGTTTCTGAACAAAAAGAATTGTGCGATTGTTTTTAAAAACTAAAGAGAATAATTTATAATTTACTTGAACAATTAAAACCCTCATTAATCAATCAAATAATACATATTAAATAAATAAAATTTTACTAATGAATTGTAGATCAATCGATATTAATGTTTCTCTCTCTCTCTCTCTTCTCAAGAGATCTCAAATTCAAATCATTTTTTTTGTAAAAAAAAATAATTATTATAGCATTTTCTTTGTTGAACTAAATGATTTAAAAAAGAAAATACACGAATTATGCCAATTAAATTTATTAAAAACAATTAGAGAAAAGTCAATTGTCTACTTAAAAAGGTATAAATTACTTGTAGAATATAATAATAGTGTTTATTTTTAGATGATTTAGTCTCGTGCATACTCATTCATACAAGAAATCGAACTCCTTCTTGTCGACTGAGTGTAATAATCTCTAAGAACAAAAGTCAATACATTTTTCCTTGTACTCTCTAAGCAAGAAAAGAGATGGAGTTTTAGACTGTTTGTGATGTAGACATTGGTGCTCCTCATCCTCCCCCATTTCAAGCTTTTTTGTTCTTTTCATTCACTACTCTTACAATAGCAAATGTATAGTCTCCATCAAAATAATAATGTATAATGTATAATTGGATTCTTATATCTATATCTTCGAGGCATCAAAAATAATATTTCACTACAACAAAAATTGGTTTCCCGACCAGACATTTCGGCAAAAAAATTTATCTATGATAAAAAAAAATTAATTGAAAAAATAAATTAAAAAATTAAACATTATTTAAAAATATAATAAATACAATTAAAAACAGATTAAAAACTCAAATTATAAAGATTAAACTATTAAAAAAATTATGTGTAATTTGGCTGTGAAATTGTGAAAAGCAAGAGAGAAAAGAGTCCAAGAAAGGATGAGAATCTTTCAAGCACCAAATTCATGAATCTTCTCAAACAGACGCAATAAGCAGCACCGAAATCATATTACCTTTGGTTTCCGTTTTAAGATTTGCTTTCTGAAAATCCTATGGCCCTATCATTATTTTGAGTGAATTACAAATTAATCCCTTTAGTTTCAAGAAATAAATTAATTGATCCTTCATTTGTTAAAAATTATTATTTAATCTTTTAATCAGTAATGATCGTGTTTAATTTATTATTATTTTTATTCTACAAATCTCTTATTTTCTCATCCACATTTCCATATTCTAAAAAAAATTCTTTTTTGTATTTCTTAAAAAAAATCATAAAAAGGAGAAAAAAAACTAAATTACAAGTATATTTCAAAATCTAAAGACTAAATTATTAGTTTTTGAAAAAAAAAATTCATTCATTCATTTCTCAAAACAAGGAGAACTAATTTTAATCTCATCATCTTTAACAGCAAAAAGTCAAAATCTTGCTTCTGTGTATTTGTTCTTTATGCACGAAAGGCAAGAAAAAAGTGTGTGGTTATTGCATTGCTAACTTTTAAAAAAAATATTGACCATATCTTGATTAATTTAAACCCTTTCTTAACCACCCAATAAAGAAATCAAGATTTGCAATATTTTTACGATTAAACAATTAATCAAAAGGGATTGTCGAGCTAACATGATCTTAACTTTCTAATGGCTGCCAAAAGCAAATAAAAGTAATATGAAAGACAAATATTTAACCGGCCAGCTGATTAATTATGTCATAATTAATTATAAATTAAGAATATTCTCAAAAACAAAATTTATTGCTGAAGTCTTAATTTATTTATTCTCAATTCAGTCTCAAATCGAAAGGTTTTATCAATTAAGAATATATTTTTTAATCGAGTCCTTTTCTAAAAATTTGTTACTATTTTCTGTCTAACATGAATATTTACACTACAAAACGACACCGTTTTGTAAAAGTTTAAATGAAAAGAAATTGACAGGAAGACCGATTGATAAAAATATTATTTTTTCCCGTTTTATAAAATTAACCAAAAAGACTGAAAAAAAAAACATAGTTTTTGAAACAAGAAATTAATTAATTATTGATCAACTATTGAGCTAAAAATAAAATCCTGTCGATAAGTGTACTGAAACCGGCTGGGCATACTGCTGGCAGACAGATTGCAGGACAAAATGACAATTAACAAGTGGAGAAGTGTACGAGGAGCAGAATTAAAGATAAAAGATAAAAAAACAACAAAATCATTGAATAAATTAATACACATAAAAATGTACCTCAAAATTACAGAAATACTAGAACAAAAAATAATTCAGCGTTTGTACGGCTAAAATAAGCAACCGTGAGAAGTAAATTATAAATTAGTCCTTTTAGTTTTTCAACATGAATCAAATAGTCTCTTTAGTATCAAAATTAATCCCTATATTTTTTAAATTTATGTGTAACTTAATCATTTTTGTTCTTTTCCAATTTATTTTGCTTTTTTATTTTAAAAAAATAAAAATTAAAAAATACGACAAAATTAATCATGATCAACATTAGTTAAGAGACTAATTATTTAGTTTTTTTAAAAATAGGGACTATTTATATCAGTTTGCAAAACTAGAATGACTAATTTATAATTTACTCTAACACTGCCAGGAGCCTTTTTATTTTTTGGAAGCTAATTTAATTTGTGCTGTAAGCGTGAGAGAAAATTAGTGAGGCGTGATATGATTATAGCCGCATTTATCCTAGGGAGGTTTAATTTACCAAAATAAATGAATATATTACTTTCTGATATTAAATTTTTTTTTTCTGATTCAGTGTTACTTTCAGCCGATGTGAGAAATATTGAAAATGATAGGGTGCATTGAATTCTGCAGGCAAAACTGTTCACATATGTCTATCGAGTTGGCAGAGAAGAGAAAGAAAATCAAAGATAATCTCCTAATTTCTCTGTCAAATATAAGATGTCAAAAGGAATATTTCATTTAATAAAGCCAAATCTTTGTTAATCATTACATAATAGAATAATAATTCATTTGATTATATACGGTAATATAATAAGCGCTGATTTTTGGAAACTTCAAAGCATTTTCTTCATTCATATCAAAGAAACATAGAAACAGAAGAAAGATGCCAAATATAAACCACTAAAATATTCTAAACAACGGTTCCACTAAAATCAATACCATCTTGCACATAGATAGAGCCACCACAAAACTGCTTTTTCCTACTGAAAACAGCTTTTACCCACCGGAAAACAGCTTTTTTAAAAACAAACATATAAAGCAAAAGAGCTTATTGAACTAGCTAGAGGAAATTATAGAAAAAAGTGGGTTTGGTAACCCTTGCTCCATCATGATCGTGAAAAGTAAATAGCAAAGATGGTTAGATTATACGTACCATTTGATGGGAGAGGAGAGGCTTGATACTGCAGAGAAAGGACGACGGTGCAAGAGTTCTTCAGCTTGAGAGAGACAGAGAGAACGAGAGAGATTTTCTTGAGAAGTGGGAAGATCTATGAGGGGTGCTTTCTTGGTAAGCAAAATGGCATTTTTATAGGGTTCGGACACATACACACACAAAAAGATAAAAGAGTAGGTTATGGCGTACTTAATGTCAAAATGACTTGATTGATTAGATTAGATTATGATCTAATGACATATTTGAATAGGAAAACGTAATTAACTCATCATAGGTTAAGAGGTAACTTTTTGGAAGGGTTTGGCGTTCAAGCTATGAAAGATGGAAATTAGCAAAAAAATTGAGGAATGTTACTTTGATGTGCAACTCAAGCAATGTTAATGATGTGTGTGGAAGGTAATTTTCGGGAAAAGTAAGAAAAAGAGCATAAAATACAAAATTTTGTGTTCAAGTACAAGTTTTTTTTCCAAATGAAATGGCGGTTTTTACTTCTCCTTTCAACTTGTAGCTAAATTTTGAAAAACAAATCATGTTTTCCTCCCCCACAGGCCACACACAAGCACAGCAAAATAGATAATTTGTGAAACTTCATTTAATATTATAAACTTTTGAATTAAAATGATTATTTAACATATAACAATTTTTTTTTTGTTTTTCCGCTTAATGATTGTCTTTTCTTTTTTTGTCATAGAATCATATTACCTAAAATCTCAAGTTGTTAGGTGGAACTCACTTAGTCAACAAGTTTATGATATCATATTATAGAACTCAATCCAAAAATATAAACTGTTAGGTGAGACTTTAAGATATAATTTAGATAAATCTTTAACGTTTTCCACAATAGTGTTATTTAATTACACCATCATGGCTCAAGAACGAAAGAGGAAGAAAGTTCATGATTTTTTTTTTTACTATTAATTTTATGTACATGTATAGCAACATTATGCTAAAAGATGATTTTGAGATATTGTTTATATTATAAAATTGATGAAAAAATAAATAAATTACCATTATTTGGAGTGGTGAACAAAACATATCCAATAATTCTTCTTGAACTTAAATTATATATATATATATATATACACACACACACATCAGACTCTCACAATTTATTTCTGGTAGTTAGTGGAGAAAATAGTTTGATCATTAATTTCACTTCTTCAACATGTTGGGATTTTAACACACATCGTGTAAACTAGATTTTATAAATAAATAAAAATACACAACAATCAAGATTATAAATAACTAATCCATCACAAACACATAATCACAAGAATATTACATTTATATGAAAAATCATCTTTATCAAAAAAGAAAAAAAAAGCCACAAGATTGCTTTTGAAATAATCCATTATAATTATGAAATCAATACACTCAATTTTTTTTTGAATTTAAAGATTAAAAATATTTTAAACAATATAAGTTATTTCTAACTAAATTCTCCCACCATCAAAACTTGAGATCCATAAAATTTTTATATTTTTGTAAAATCCAATAATGTTACGACATTACTATTTTAAACACTACAATCATTTGTTTTTCTAAAAAAATCAATAATAAAACCACTTTTCTTGTTCTGTTGTTGTTCTGTTTTTGTCACATTAACAATGCACAAAAGAAAAAAGCCACCATTTCTTTTATATTTTTCATCTAAAAAAAAAAAGAAAAAAAAAAAAGCAAACTTTCCTTTTTCTTTTCCTTTTTTAACTGCCACACCTGCATACCTTTTCATCGTTCAATTTTCTTTTTAGTTCCACTAAAGCTGGCTTCATATTTAAGGGTTAATATAATAAATTAAAATTTTAAATTTTTTTTATATTTTACGGAAATAGTGGACAAAATATAAAGAGCCATCCTTTCCTTTATATTGTCGGCTGAAAAGAGCAAGGAGGAAAAAAAAAAAAAGCGAACTTTCCTTTTCCTTTAATTTGTTAACCACCATACACACTATCACCTTTTGGTCCTTTAATTGTCTTTCAAGTTTTAAAAAACAAACCAAATTTTTTTTTTTTTTTAACACCACCACAGATGCACACTATCACCTTTTCGTCCTTTAATTTTCTTCCTAGTGTCACTCTAGCTCCCTTTCTACTTAATCAATTATGTGGATCACTATGAGTTGGATTCGACACCTAACACAACGGATTATAAAAAAGTCTTGAAAGAGATATCTTATGATTAAAAATTAAACTCG